GGGGGTGGGGGGCCGGGCCCCATGCTCCTCTCCCCGCTGCCTGCCCCTGGGAATTCTCACTGCTACCTGCGGGGCCTCAGCATGACAGCCTTGCCGGGCCTGGTGCTAGAAACTTGACTCTTAAAACTGCAGCAACACTAAGAAGCAGGCTGGGAAGGAGGAAGCTCCGCCTTCCCAGCGTCAGAAGAGCGCAAGGTCAAAAAGAAATGATGAGGGCCGGGGATTTAGCTCAGTGGTTCTGCCGCCTGCCTTGTAAGCACAAGGACCCAAATTCGATCCCTGGTACAAAAAAAAAAAAAAAAAAAAAAAAACCCAAAAAAAAAAAAAAAAAAAAAAACCCAAAAAACAAAAAAAACAAAAAAACAACAACAACAAAAAAGAAAAGAAATGATGAATCTTTCTTGGACCCTCTTCTAGATTTTCTGGCCTGTGTTTGTCGGATTCAAAGATCACAAATGCTGGCCCATTAGGTGGATGGGAGCCGATGTGTTTTGTTTGGCCTGTGTGGTGTTTCAAATATTTGAAAATTCATTTTTTTGGAATCCAGTTTATTTGGCCTTTGCATTCCTTCTCCCCACTTCTTTCTTGCTTGCTTTAAATAAATTTGAGTTGATTGCTAACATGTAAACATCAAGAATGTTTTCCTTTAAAAAAAAAACAGGTTTCTGGCTTCCTTTGGGAACTAGGGAGAGCTTGGCATGTGGGCCTGCATTCCGCACTGGCACCATCAGCCTGGGCGCCCAGCCAGTGCTCCCCAGGCGGCTGCCTACTGGTCCCCTTTGGTCCAGTGTCACCAGCCAGATAGGCTATGGGATCCTTATCTACCGCCCCAGGCATACTCAATCAAAAGCTCAGCCTGGTTTCCACCTAGGACCAACTGATGCCTTCCTGAAAGGATGGTCTTAAGTGGTAATGGAAACGCCCGGAAGGTGAATGAGGTCTTAGGCAGCTTCCCACCAATCTGGTTGGCTCTTCCAGAGCTCAGTCTTGTTCCAGGAGCAGCTCACTAAGCTCAGAGAGAGAGAGAGGGCTGGGGGCCAGGAGTCAGGAGGTGTGGTTCTGGCCTTTGCTTGGCCACAGCTCTCAATGTGGCCTCAGGCGTGGCCTTACTCTATTTGGTGTCCCCACCTGTCATGGAGCAGGTTGCAGAAGGAAGCAATAGCAGGAATACCAGGGGCAGGCCGGTGAGCTTGTGGGGCAGTGTGTCAAGCTGGGTGCCAGCACCTTGTGTAAAAGGAACAGCTGTTGAAGCCGTGTGTGGTGGCGCACACCTGTGATCCCAGCACTCAGGAGGCTGAGGCAGGAGGATCGCTGTGAGTTCGAGACCAGCCTGGGCTACACAGTGAGTTCCGGGTCAGTCTCAACTATATAGTGAGATCCTGTCTCAAAAAAAATAAAAAAATAAAAAAATAAAAGGAACAGCTGTGGCTAGAGGTGGAATTCTGAAATTTCAAGCTAAGCTAGTTACCCCAGTATTATTAGAAATCTCGCTTAAAAAATAATCACAATTAAATTAAAAGTGCTACAAGGTCCCCATGAAACACACCTGTGGACCACCTGGCCCCATCTGCAGCCCTGACATTAGATAGCTGCTAGGGTCCTTGTCAGCCAACACAGGCGTCTTATAATCTAGGATGTGCTCCTGGTAATAGAGCAACTTACTGATGTGTTTGGCCCCAGACCCCAAGTTTCCAAGCCTAAGAGTATAGTGATTCATGCAAACTGACTTTAAACTGTAGAAGAGCATCACTCTTGTCTCCCCCATGGCAGGCATGCAGGAACTGTAGCAGAAAAAGGCCCCAGGGAATGCGCCATCATTTATCAGCTGTGAGACAAAGCCTTTACTTGTCCCCTCTTTGAGCCCCACTGTCCTAACCTGTAATGGGGTCTTAATGCTAAGCAGCTCAGCACACCCAGCCCCCAGCAACCTGCTCCAGGTGTCTCTCCCACCCCCAGCCCTGGGTCCCCAGATCTGCCTCTGAGTTTCTGTCTGTCCCTTTCTGCTGCAGGCACCATGAGCACAGAGGGCCCCGGCCTCACCAGCCCCCCAGCCTTCCTCGTCACCCCAGTCACTCCTGGGACCCTCGCGGAGGTGGCAGACCCCCTCCCTGTGCTCATCGCCCTGGCCTGCGTCTTTCTCCTGCTGGCCTCCTGCCTGCTGTTCCTGACACTCTGCAAGCCAGCCGCACTGGACCCTCACTGCCGCCGGGCGCCAGAGTGCCTGCCCCACCACCCCTCCAGCCCCAGCGAGCCCCGCTTGCGGCTCTGGAAGCGCCTGGGCTCACTTCGCAGCTCCCTGCACAGCTTCCGGCGTGGTGGGCCTCCCCCTGCACGCCCCCTGCCGGGATGCGATGACAGCCTCGGTGACAGTGCCTGCGCGGAATTTACCAAGCTGTGACGGGGTCCCCAGGTTTACCTGCGGAACCTCCTGCTTGGCACCATAGACTGCAGGATGGCAGCCCAGACAACATGTGCTCCAAGGCCCCTCTAGGCCTCTTTTGTGTGCCTAGTCCAGGTCCTTTCCCAGAGGTGGCCCTGGAAGAGGGCCTTCTCCTTTAGAGCCCCCGCTGCCGCCTGCTCGACGACCCCTGGGTCACACATCAGGACGGACAGGAGAGACCAGGGCAGATGCGGGCAGTGCCAGGGAGGCAGGGGGCTGCCTACCACCAGCAGCGGGAGGGGATGCCCCTGGGTGCTGAGGATGCACTACAGTTGCTCTGTGCCCCACCAGAGAAAGAGGCCACCTCCTCTCGGGTGGGACCATCTAGACCTCCAGGACAGCTGTGGGACCTCCAGCCTGGGCCACATCAGATGCTCTGTGTTTCACTGACTGACTCATCGGTATGGGCTTCTCTGACTTGAGAGACCTCAACTTCTCCACCCAAGGCCATGGCTAAACACAGGTTGGGCCTCCAATTTGGAGAGTGTGCAGAGGGCTTTATTTCAAGAACTGGGCCTTTGGTTTGCCACTCCCCAGCTTCCAAACCTTCACCGGCTCCCTCATGCCCACTGGACATGGCCATAGCTCCTAGCCTGGTGTACACTGCGCTCCTGAATTAAAGGTTTCACTCCAGGAAAACTGAATCACCTGTCTTCCCTGTCCACCTTACGCTTCATACAGCACCTGCTCTGTGAAGCCCTTTCTCCTCCAGTTGAACTGATCTCTGCCTAGAACTCTGACTCTTCTCCTCCTGCCGCCTGCACCATCTTGCCTGTGTCTCTCCTCCAAGCCTGGAAGCCTGTGGAGAGCTGGATCTTATCCAACCTCCTGCTTTGACCTGCCAGTTCCAGGAATAGAAGCACCAAACCTTTGTTTAGGGATGAAGGTTGCCCAGGCTGCAAGCATCCTTACCCCAATGCGGTGGGAGACCTGTTAGGATCCGGTACAACCCAGGGCCCCAACTGGCCTCTGATGCTCCCAGAAGGAAGACTTCCCTCCAGGCAGGCCCTGTTGGACGGGTCACTGCGCCTTCCTTCCTTCCCTCCTCTCCCCTCCCCTCCCTCCATTCATATTTCCTTCCCTCTGTCCCTCCTTTCTGGCTTGGTCTGACCTCAGATGGGGAACCCAGCTTTGCCAGAAACTCCTCACAGGGCATGGAACGAGGCACCCAGAGACCTGAACTTCTTAAGAAGTGTGGGGAGAAGCAAGGAGTCTCGCATGACTTGTGTCTAGATGTCACCCCAAAGCCTTGTGCAGTCATAGATGGAGCTTTACGGAGGCGGCTGGATCTAGAGTGTGTGATGCTAGGATGGATCAAGGGTGAGTGATTACTAAATTAGTCCACTGATTGGTTTGGCATAGTTCTGGGTAGGATTAAGGGTGTTCCACCCTGGGTGTGGTGCTACCCACCCTAAGGGCAGGAAGCCTGAATAGGATATAAGGGATGGAAAGAGGGCTGCCTTGGCTGCTGTGTGCTTGCTATTTTACTGCTTTGCTGCCTTATGCCCACCATGAACTTTTTCTCCTCTGTGATGCCCCTCTGCTGTGCCACCCTGCCTTGGAGCCAGCCAACTATGAACTGAAGTCTCTACAAACTGTGAGCTACAACAAACCTTTTCTCCTTTAACTTTGGGTGTTGGGTATTTTGTCTCAGCAGCGAGAAAAGTAACTAAGACAGAGCCTTACATTACTCACAGACCTTAGGAGTTTGGTCCTGAGTAGTGTTGTGTAAATAGAAACCAGTTCTCTGGGGTGAAGGAACCAGGCAGGTCCTCTCCCAATGGCTCTGTTCCTCCCACCTCTTCCTGGTTTGCTTCCTAAGGGCCTGAGCCCTGTGCTCCCCACCACTGTCCCTGGCCAGCAGGCCCTGTTTGGCAGAGGTATTCTCTTGGGGTGGAGGGTCTGCCTGGATGCTTGAAGGTGAAGGAAAGCTGCAGGGATTGGGGGTGGCTCTCAGAGATCTGGCTGTACCCCTGTGTTGTGCAGGCTGTGGGTCTTGGGTCGCCTATCAGTCAGCCAGGGTAGCAGGTACTACTACTAGCCTGGGTGGTGCCTCATGTAGTTTTCAGGGGGGCTTTCCAGAGCTGAGGCCAGAGGGAGGGAAACTGCCTCCTGGAACCAGACTCCTGCATATCCTCAGGGCTTCCTGGAATTAGCTCCTTGCTCTCTGTCCCTTTCTTGCCTGCTCCTGGTCCCCACATGAGGAAGTAGGCATTGACCCTCCCAGCCTCCATTCCCACCCCAGCCCGGAGCCTGCCCAGGGCAGGCCCAGATTTGCCGTGCTTGGCTGAGACTCAGAATTGTCAGGAAAGCCCTGCAGCTGGTGAAGACAGGCATTCGTTCCTGGGCCCCCTTCCTACCTGGCAATATGACTGGCTGGGGGCAGGAAGAGGGGGGTGAGCTCACTTTTGAGGTCCTCCTCCTTCTAGCCTCATAGCAGTTGCTCCTGTTCCAGGCAAAGGAGCACTTTCTTCTCCTGCCTGTTGCTTCCAAAAAGGGGCCTTGGCCAAGGGCTGTGAAAGCCACTCTGTTCTGGCCTAGCAGGGCCTGGCTCTTTCCCCTGCTCCTTTCTGAGAAAGTGTGACCTCTCCTTGTTCCTGCTCTGAAAGCCCCTCTGGGTGGGTTGGGGTGCAGAGCTGCCAGGACAGGGAGAGCAGGGCCCTCTTGCTTGCTGGGGCACCCAGGGCCCTGTCCTCAGCTGACACCACCTGGGGCCCATGCTCCCTGGTAGGGGCGAGGGAGCTGGGTGCCCCTTTTCTCACAGCATTGTCCACTTCCGAAGCAGCAGGCCCACCCTGGACCTTCTCCTGTCCCAACCCTTCTTGCTACAATGCCACTGAGCCTGCACCCACCGAGCTGAGTGTGGCCCTGTCTGCCCCAGCCTGCCACCCACCCCACGGTCCATGGCCACCTGCCTGCACAATGCTGTGGCCCTCATGGATGTCTTCAGGGACGCTGGCCTCATAGCTGCTCTGCAGAAAGATGGGTCGGTTGTCGTTCACATCCAGGACGGTGACAAACACAGTGGCAGTGCCTGTGTGCCGTTTGCCTACGGGGCCATTGTCTGTGGGAGATGAAGGATGGGTTTTAGCAGCTACCCAAGGGGCAGACTTCCCAGGCACCGGCAGGAAATACTTCACTTATGCTGGCCTGTATCCGGAGACTTCCTTTGCAGATAAACAGCACGACTAACAATATCTAGTACTCACATAACCCCAGTGGCTGAGCATTCTTCTAACTCACTTGGTCCCCACAGCAGCCCTGTGACTGGGCATTGTCCTCCCCACTTCCTGGAGGAGGCAACTGAGTCTCAGACAGATGGAGAGGTTAAGTCCCTGGGAAGCTGTGCATGCTCATTTATTTTGGAAGAAAGGTCTTTGATGATGCAATTAAATTAAGGATCTCGAGAGATCATCCTAGATTACTGGGTGAGCCAGAAGCCCAATGTGTCCTTGCAGAGCAGAGAAGGCAAACTGGGACTGGTAGTGTACCGCACCTGTAGTCTCAGCACTTGAGAAGCTGAGGCAGAAGAATGACTTGAGCCCAGGAGTTCGAGACCAGCCTGGGCAGCCTGGCAAGAGTCTGTCTCACAGAGACAGAGAGAGGTTGAGAGTGAGGAGGCAATGGGAGATTTGGAGAGAAGAGAGGGCCAAGTGAAGATGGCGCCACAAGCCCAGGAACACCTACAGACACCAGAAACCCAGGGTCAGGGGAGGACTCTCCCTAGATACTTAGAGGGACTGTGGCCCTGCTGACACCTAGAGCCAGGGTTCGACACTTTCTCTTCTTTTATGCCACTGAGTTTGCGATGATTGGTTCCAGCAAACCCAGGGCCTGCTATAGAGAAGGGACCTGGGTCACCTGGGCACTGTCCTTGGCTGCACTCCACAGGGGCCAGGACACCAGAGCTTCTGGTTTTTCAAAAAATTTATCTGAATCTTTAAATAAAATGTCCTGAATTCTTAGTAGGTACTTGTCATTCCTTATTAATCATGCGAATCAAAGGAAGGAATGTGTGGGTCAGATTTAGCCTGGGGGGCCTTCTGAATTCAGGGGCTCGGGCCTGCTTGGTTTCCAAACCTAAGGACTCACCCCAGCTGAGGAGGGATGGTGGGACAGATACCTCGGCCCAGCCCTGGGGCTGTTGGGCTGTCCTCCTTGGAAGGCAGGGCCAGTGTCTGGGTGTCGCCCCAGGGAGGAGTCAGATGGCAGGAGTTGGCTGGGGACACAAGGTGACTCCATTCCTTCCTAGGCCAGGTGACCGTATGAAGGTGCAGTTACCTGTCCTGGGGGCAGATTCTCCCCAGACCAGCCTCCTGCCACCCTGAGGGCCCTGCCAGCTCCACCCAGCTGGGACACTGGGCTTGGAGGGGGTGCTCTAGAAAGTCAGATACCGAGCCCTGTCCTCTTGCTATCCTGCTGAAACTGGGGGGTGACGCATCTGCAGAGGGCAGGGTGGCACCCAGGATGGGAAGAGAGCAGGGCAGAGGGCTCAGGCACCCTGGCATGGCCAAGCTGGGGTGGGACGGTGAGCTGCCAAAAGCCAGATGCAGAAAGCTCAATCCCATCTCAGTAAGAGCTCACTGCAAACACTGAAGTAGGTTCTCCTGAGGGGCCCGGGGCCCGGGGCTCAAAGGTCACATCACCTCTTCCCCTCCAGAGTCTTCAAGGGCTCTCCACTGCCTGAAGATCAGAAACCAAACTTCCAACTCAATGTTTGGAACCCAGCCCTACTGGATGGCAGCCTTTCCTTCCCAGTGACTGCTCTCTCACACACAATGACTCTCTCCCTCCAGGTGTGGGCACGAGCTGACTCCTCTGTCCCAAGCACCCGTGAGGCTTCTCCATCCACTGAAAGCCTGCTTGGCCCTCAAGACTGTGGTGGGCACCCCGTGCCTGCCCATCAGCTGCCCTCTCCTGGGAAGATTGTGTACCTCTGAGGACCCCCTACTCCCTGACACTGAGGCCTGGGGTTCCGGGCAGGTGGGGAACACCAGCTCTGGGGATGGTCACCTCTCCATCCCTCGGCTGCAGAGGGGCTCAGCAGGGCGTACTGGGACCCAGGAGCTAACCAGAGCTGCAGCCTCTGGTGGCCGTGTGGTACAGAGAGCAAAGGTGGCCCCTGTGGACAGGCGTATCACCTGAGCCCTGAATCCAGCCACACCTGCGGCTAGATCGCCAGGGGGACAGGTTCCGTGAGCTCATACTGCTGAAGTCAATTTATTTTACTTTTAAAATTTGTAACCCAAAGAGTTCCCAGATGCTGCTTCCTCCAGGAAGCTTCCCTGACCCCGCCCCACATACCCGTCACCCTTCGTGCCCAGTGCCACCGCTGAGCCCTCATCCCAGTCTCCCCCTGACCCTCACCAAGCTTCTGCCTCACCATCCTCACGCCTTGCATACAGCACAGAGCGGTGGCCTCGCGTCCCCCAGGGCTCAGTGACACCGGTGTGCGCCTGGTGGCCCTTTCCCCACTCCACCTGGAATGACGCAGGCACGTACCGATGGCCTCCAGGACGAGCGTGTACGCAGCCGTGGTCTCACGGTCCAGGCCCACCACGGTCCTCACCATGGCATCACGGTAGCCCACACTGAACTTCCCGTCCACGTTCCCCTCTGGGGGCGGAAGAGAGGCTTCAGGACAGGCAGCAAGGCGAAGGCGGCCAGGAAAGGGCCACCTCAGCTCTGCCCTGTCCGCGGGACCGGTCCGGTTTACTGATGAAGCAGCAGCAACTTGGGAGCCACACGGCTCCAACTTGCCCTGCCCGGCTCTGATGGGGCGCAGCCTGCGCCAGCCGAAACCTGGCATCAGAAGGGACTAGCGTTTATGGAGGCACCTACTGTGCACCAGGCACTCCGCATGGCCCAGTTCATTCACTTCCTTGTGACAGAGGAGAAAGGCTCTTTTCTTGAGGCTGCATGCGCTGCCGGGTTTCTCTTCTGGGCTGACTGCGGAGCTGGGCCCTTCCCACACTGCCCCTGTGGCTAAGCAGCCAGCTTGGGTTGGGGCTGGATATGTGGCAGAGGATGGTGGGGCCACCGAGACCTCCCCAGGCGTCTCACTGTGGGGGCTTGGTGGGGATGGCTGAGGACCATGGTGCACCGCACAGCAAGGGTCAGGGCAGGTGGGCAGGAGAAGGTGTCGCTGGTCTTCCTGAGCCCAGGGCTGGGAGGTGAGGGACACCTCTCTGGGTGTATGGTGCCCCGGCAGTGTGACACTTTGGGCAGCAGAGGGCGCCACTGCACCAGGCTTGGGGCCAGCTGGGCCCAGGACTGCTCAGCTCCTGGTAGAAAACTGCAAGGCTCTCAGCAGGCCGGTGGAACCCACCCCCTTCTGGTGCTGGGGTCTGCCAGGTGCTCCCTTGTGCTGGTTGATTTGTCCCCAGAGAAGGTCTCAGGACCCCCCAAACACTCCCTAGTGTATGAAGTACCATCTTCAACGGACAATCTGGCCTCTAGCAGGGCCAAGAAGGGACTAAGATGCAATTAGTGCATGGCTGAATCTTGGGGCTGATGTCAGGGGTTCTGAGGACCAGACTGTGAAGAGCTCTCTGTGGAAAGGAGAGTGCAGAAAGCAGAGCTGGAGGGCTGGGAGGGCA